TATATACATACATACATACATACACAAACACCAAGTACGTGATGAACTTCCTTACAGTCTGAATTCGATTAAATTCGGTTTATTTACCTTAGCTGATGGTGGTTATCCTCTGGCAGACGACAGTGAACCTAAATTATATTTACAGCAAAGTGAATTGAACTTCAGCTAGTCGGTCAGGCTCATCTACAACTATCGCAGACAGACCCGTTACTTAGCAGTATTTACTTTGAAGCACACGCCACTCGTCTGACCGCCAAATAACTATATGGGCCTTTCATGTATCCAACTATTTGTTCACGAAGACCATGGCCGCGTAGACGTTCAGCCTCTAACCAAATGCGAATCAATCATTTAAAATGTCGATGGACTATTTCCGAGATGGATTGTAACACAAAACCAGACCTATAAGCTCTCAATCGGAAGAATAATCTCAAAGTAATGAGAGGACATCGTCGTAAATAGAAATGTTATAGAAGTACGTTTTGAAGACCGATATTATGGCAAGGACCTTTTAATCAGAAAATGAAGAACAACTTTGGAAACACTACTTGACGAGCCCAATTTTGGCTTAATTGTAATGATTCTGTTTCCATTCTTTCACACACAGACCGGCACATACTCCTGAGTCTAGTGGGTGATAACGAACGTTAAACACATTCAACGTCTCCATATATATATATATATATGTATATATATGTATATAAGGACATCAAAACATTGATTGACAAAGATTGTGCCCGCAAAGTAGAACTTACAGATGATTAAGTGATGATAAACTCTGATTTCCGTTTTTCAAATTAAATTAGGTTTTTTCTACCATCCAATAACACTGCTAACGCGTATTACGCTGCTTCCTTCCATGTATTTTGCTCTATCGAGTATTAGTGGTTGGGCCTGTTGCTTCAAGAATCGTAAGAGATTGAGGACTTGATGAATACGATGTTACGCACCGAGCGCCTTTGTGAATAGACGGATAGCGAGACGAAAATCAGCCCTTCAAAATGTCAAAACAGGACCGCTGCGGGCCTCCTTGCTTAGTTCGTGTCTAGTAGAGAAAGGTCGACTGACTAATCTCTAGCTCAACATTATACGATAGAGGGCTGTAGCTGGAACATTGCCGAGCTAGAAATACGGAATAAGTAGAGACCGAAGCGAAGCAAATAATACAAAAGCAGTCAAAAAGGAAATAAAGGCACACAGAAACGTAAACATTCACACAGATACAAGGATAGACAAATAGACCGACTTTGAGCACACAAACCATTAAGCAGTTGGAATAACACTGCTACAAGACTTCAGCATACAGCAACTGTTAACATATGCACGAACGCTCATGGACGTACGTACATGCACCGATGCAGGTAACTCGTAATGATCTAGTTAAGTGTGTAAAACGCGGTGGATCGCTTTACAAGCAGATCAAAGTTAGGCATAAAAGGACAGATAATAGATAATATAATAGTAACTCATAGACATACATCGATTAGCCACTAATGATTTGTAGTTTAAATCAACCAGCGGCTATAAGTTGCATTTTACGGTTCTACGGATCTAAAGGTGTACGAAGTAACGGTTCGGAGCTTTACATTTTTTAGTATTGGTTTAACCCTAAATCAGTGACGTTCTAGACTGATTAGGTTTTCATCCTCTATACCGTGCAGTAATGCTGCAGCAGTCGATCGAGCCCACTCAAGCATTAGTTAAATTCAATCGGTCTCCTGCTACAAGCCGGCTAGATCAGGGAATTTTTTCTGATGACAAGACGAGGATTCTAAAAATGTACAATTCACAAATGCCAAAAAAGCACAATTTGTATTTTTACTGGCCGTTATCTATATATCGTGTAATAGGCATGCGATATTTCATATATATACGCGCTGTCGAAGGAAAGCGTAGGCGAGGTACTAAAGGTACATATGTGCTATCCCTAGGTAGATATCTATATTTGATCTTTTGAACTATAAACTGTTATGCTGTTGTTGTTGTTGTTGTTGTTGTTGTTGTTTTTGTATTCGTCGTACTCAGGGCATTCACTTCCTCCATAATTCTTCGATTGGTTTCCATGGACGACTAAAAAGCACGAAATGTGTTATCGATAGTCGCTTCGTCGTCAAATTAACCGATTTTGGCCTTCCGTCGTTGGCGGAACAAATTCCCGAGCCGGACATCAAAAATCTGAGTATGAGAATTGTCGTTTTTTCCGTTTACGTTATTACGAGCCATTCCTATGAGTTTTCAGTGAGCAGGCTATCAGTATAATTAATACTGTAACCATCAGTAGTCGAGTCAGAACGATACAAACCAATAAACATGTTTCAGGAACGTATTTCTGGACTGCGCCGGAAATTTTGCGCAGCCGCAATCCCCGACTGAATGGAACCAAAGAGGGAGACATCTACAGTTTGGCTATCGTGCTTCAGGAAGTGATCACACGCTGCGGTCCATTTGAATCCATCGAGCGCCTAGGTAGGGCCAAGGTCAACCTCGAACCAGAAGGTTAGTAAACCGTTCTTTACACTTAGTTTCGAAGTATGCATTCTCTGCGTGAATTTTTACTCAGTATATTTTGGGGCGAGCCAAGCTTCCCTTTAAATAGCAGAGTCGTTTTCTGATGACCAGAAATTCTTGATCGTGTCAAGATGGGCGTGGTGCCGCCCTTCCGGCCTGAGGTATCGGCAGATGAGTGTCCACAAGAACTTCTGCGTCTCATGAAGCACTGCTGGGCTGAAAATCCCAACGATCGTCCGCTGATCGCAGAGGTGAAAGCTCGCATTAAAAAGATCACCAAGTACGTACAAGTAGTCCTTTGTCTATATATTCGATTACAAATTATGTACTGAACAGTGAAACGGATGTATTTCTTTGAGAGCACTTCAGCCCATGACATAAAAGCTAGATTCAAGTTGCAAGAGGTTTCACGGTCATTCCACGTTAGGGCCACGCTAACAGCGTTTGCTTGCACAAACTCTTCTTGGTTTATTGGGACGTCCGCAGGGGAATGTCATCGAAAAACTTCTTTGACAACCTCCTCCAACGAATGGAGCAGTATGCAAACAATCTCGAATCCATAGTAGAAGAGAAAACTCAGTCGCTCATTGAGGAAAAAAAACGAACCGATGAATTACTCTACCAGCTTTTACCAAGGTAAGTAATCGGCCTGTGGGGCATATACGTACTCTCCAATGTTAACAATTACAGCAAGCATGTCCATTGCCAGGTACGTAGCCGACGAGCTCAAGAAAGGATCTCATGTCCAGCCAGAATCCTTCGAAGAAGTAACAATTTTCTTCAGCGATATCGTAGGATTTACAACACTTTCGTCGGAAAGTTCCCCGCTTCAAGTTGTAACACTACTCAATGATCTCTACACAATGTTCGACGCTGTTATCGAGCAACACGACGTTTATAAGGTACGAGGTTAACGGTTTTTGACGGCCCTTGCCAAAAAGATCATAGGTGATAAGAATTCCGCCACTTCTAGAACAAAAATCTTCGAAGATCGCGGTTCGTTCAGGTAATAGAATGAGACTTAAATTGCGTTGCATTTATTGGCGTAGTTCATTGATATTCTATGGAATAATGGCCTCTATTAATGCTTACTATCTAGTTTTTTTCGGATAGTAAAATGTATCCAATTTAAATAGCAGGCTACAGCATTTAGGTGTAAAATTATATAGAACTGAACGCTCGTTTCCTACATATATGTTCGCCGTAATTGAATAAACATCAATAATTAACAGCTCTTTCTTACTCTATAATGTTTTGTAGATAAGCAAATCGAACGTGAATAGTGTACGGCTGAGCCCTGGAGAAAAAAAAATATAGATAAAATACATGAGAGAAAGATGATCATCTTTGTGGATTAGAAGATTATCATTTTTAGCATATACAGAGTAACTTCCCACGCTCGCGGGTTACTGGAGGACACTGGTTGATCAGTTGGTTTTCTCAACAACAAAAAATACAAGCCTACCCACAGAATTCGGTGAAAATGCAATTTTTGTGTCTGATTTTCGAATAGGTCGAGACGATTGGCGACGCCTACTTGGTGGCGTCCGGCGTGCCCATACCCAACGGAAATGAGCATGCACGAGAAATAGCCCGAATGGCTATATTACTTCGTGAGAACTTGACCACATTCAAAATTCGGCATTTACCCAAGCGGAAGCTACAACTGAGAATTGGCATTCATTCAGGACCCTGTGTAGCTGGTGTAGTTGGTCTCAAAATGCCTAAATATTGCTTATTTGGCGACGCAGTAAATACCGCTTCGCGTATGGAGACGACGGGCGAACGTATGTTGATTAGGTTAACCTTGGTGGCCTGTTCAAGGAACTTAACCTGGCTGTTAGCGGGTTATTTTTCGTTTCGGTTAAATTTTGATTTTCGAAATTATTTTTTCAACAAATAAAACATTTACTGCGTAGTAGCCTTACCGTATTCTTACTTAGTATTCAGTTGTGATGTCAGTTTTACAAGCTGATAGTTCTTTTTAACCAAATAGATTGAGTGCCCTAATGGGGCAATACCTAAACAATTTTGACGGTTAAGCCAGTGAGTGCGTTGGGGCAAAGACACAGTTGTTCGTTATATATTTTCATTGTAAATACTAACTTACTTAACGATAACCATTAGCAGCGATGAAAATTCACATTAGTAAAAGATGCAAGGAAATACTGGATGGATTCGGATCGTTTGTCTCTACTCTTCGAGGAGACGTCCAAGTTAAGGTGGGTGCCCGCTTGCAATCAATCTTTCGTGTCACTGTGCTAAATAATATCATTTGAATAGAGACTATCTGCTTGCGTAAATAGTTATTGTGAGCAACTTTGCCATTGCCTTGCAGGGCAAAGGGGTGATGACAACATACTGGCTAGATTCCGAGCTCGGCCGAAGATCTACGAAGAGTATGGCTCCCCAGGTTGATCAAGTGATCGCTAACGTGCGCGCTGAAATTGAAGCTGATGTACCTTCTCTGACCCAAGAAAACATTAACGAGATCAACAAGATCGTCAGTTCTTAAAGCTGTACCAGAAATACGTTTCAAACATAAACAAGGCTACATTTTCAGACGGGAGCGTTATACACCCCAGCCGTACGCACGAAACAACTTTCCACTAGCTTATAACTGAAGTGTATTACACAGCCGTCCTCAGCACACATTTGTCATATAAAATGATGACAGTGCTTTCCCGTTAAAGACCACAAGTTAGGCCAGGACATAAGCGAGTCGCTGAAATACGCCTTTTTCGACGTGGTCCTAACTTAAAGCGTCTATTTATTCATTAAAGCGTCTGTAATGAAGAATAGGTTGCTTTTAATTCCAAAATGGAGGAATATGGTGAATTACGGTTCATTTTAATTGAATCATATTTTTGATTCTTCTGAGAAAGAAATTACCTTATTTCCGAATTCGTATAGTTAATGAAATTGATTATCGTGGACCATTTACCGGCCTGCCGGCGAGATTCAAAATAGAAGAATGCAGCTGATATTACGCCGACTTGGACTAGCCATTAAAACGAAAAAAACAGATGCATTCTTAATTAGTATGGCAGTACTTGTTACTATTACCCTAGACTATTAAATATGACGAAACGCTTTAGACAATTGTTTTATACGGTTTTTAAATAATAATCTCCATACGAATATGGATCACAGCCACTCGCCAGTGGTTAGCTACAAAGAGATAACATAAGTTAGTCAACACCCCAAAAACATTTAAAAAAAAAAACCATATCTTGGGCTAGGTAAAAAAAATCGACCGTATATTTCTGCATCGCGTTACATGCATACGTTTTTCGGATATGGGTGATTTTTCACCTAGATAGAAAATCGGTTAGCATACGGTATACACACACTAACTGTCTTGAAGGTCGAAAAAAAAACTCAATAACAACATCGTGTACCAAACAAGCCGACTAGTTAGTCCAGACACCGTTTATCCACTTATATGGTGCAATCTCAAACGGTTTCTAGCTTACACATTAATCTTGTACGGAGGACATGTCACCGGACAAACTCTGTCGAGATTTTGTAAAATGTTAGCGGCCGCCCTATATTTGTATATTTATATGGGAAAACATCCATTTGTTATATATATATATATATGTAGTTGTAAGGGAAATGATAAATTACTGGGTAATAATAATACGATATTGAAGATGTCTGTCTTTTCAGTGATATCATATATTTAGATAGTAACTTTCAACCGGTAAATTAATACACTTTCTTCATTATCTAGGTAGAAAATTCGAAAATTGTGTATTTCAATATTCCTTCTAGGGAAAATAAAATTTATTCTATATCAATTTTAAATCATAAACAATGAACACCTATCATAAGATTCCAATAGGCACGTTTTTAATATAACACAACGACACTATTTAAATGAAAAATGACTTAAACCTTACAGACATCCACACACATCGGAAATTGATTATTTTGTTTAACAATTGCCTCAGTCTGCCCTATATTTGTGGCTACGACACAGGAAATACAATCGCGCAAATGTATTTGTCCTTTCCAAAGTCTATGACATTTATATAGTATATTGACTTTCAGAGTACTAAATTGTCTAACATTGATCCTTTACTATTCCATTTTGCCACGTAGTACGATGTAATCATTGTGTAACCACATATATTCGTACGCTAGCAAAAGCCTTATTAATGTCACACGCCCGACCTAGTCGATGCCCCCCTATGTTATTCATAGCCATATCTCTTATGCAATGAAAAAAATCACTCCATGATTATAGTAGAGTACATTACGTAAAGACTTAGCGTGAAAGCCATGTTTCGGACGACTATTTTTCACGAAACGATGTCAGCTGTCATATAATGAACGGAATCGACTTTTAATAGTCGTCTATAGCGCAGTAACAATCCTTCCAGTTTTAGAGGATCGTAGAAAAGACGCCTGCCAGTCTTACGTTTGACATATTGCGTACTGTGCATTGCACTCCGTTTGTTTTCGATGTGAACGAACATCTCGGGTGTACCGCGAAATTTAAAATACAGTTCGGCAATGGCAGTGTCGAAGTGCAACAAGAACAACAACAGTACATACAGCGCCTCTATAGTAACTAAACTTCGCATACAAACTGTAAGGTACATATAGTTTCGCATAGGGAATATCGACTATAAACTTATAAACGATTTTGAAACGTCTTATAAATTTATTAGCCAGCATATTATATTATCGGCTGACGTAAGACTTGGTTTTAATGGTTCCTTAACAGCACCGGTAGCTTGAAGACTGTATTTTTCTTACTTGGAAATATTGCCATTTACTCAAACTTGTGGCAGCCACCAAAATTTCGAAAAAAAAAATGTGCTTTGTTAAACAAAGAAAGGTGCTCCAATATACTCTGTGTAAATTCATTATTTTCTAGAAAAGTCTACTCTTTACCTTTTGACCAGCTTCTGCCTAGCCTTTGCTACAGTAAGTATATGATGTCTATTACTAGCAGTCTCATGACGCTCTGATATTCGTGCAGTCGTTTACTTCGCTCGACGTGGACTATCTTGAGCAACCCACGGTTTTGTATTCGGGCTGAACCTTCTGACGTGTTTTGCGCGTTCTCCTCTTAAAAACAAAAGAAGTTTTTTCTTTTTTTTCGGCTTGTAAGACCGAAAGCGAATATACTTAAAAGAAAAAACAGATAAGATTCTGATCTTCGGTCAGAGTTAATGCTCGCAAACTAAAGAAAAAGACGCATATAAGCACGATTTTATGTATTCCAATTGAGCTCTCGAATAATACGTACCTCACAAACAGAGGTCCTATTACAGGCTCTAAATGAACATTTCTGAGACTGGACATTTGCCCGTACTGGTGCAGAAATCTCTGCGACGAATCACACATTCGCTACGCGTGGCCTTCAATGGCCAAAGCAGGCTGTCTAAACACCTACAAGTTCCGGAATGCAATTCGAAAGGCCGCACCATCAAAAGGCCAAAGGAGCGGAAGTTCTTGAAATTCTATGTTTCGTAAAATACATAACTCGAGTGTAAATTTGTATAACATACCTCTAAACTATTGATTGATGTGTAAGCCAAATACGAATACTCCAGCATGGGTAATTATGATATTTTAGGAACTTACTTGAATAAATTACGCCGTATAAATAATACGAACCAAAAAGTAACTTTATTTTCTAATAAATTATTACTTGTCTTATTACTAACCGCATAGAAAAAGGTTCGTTTGTATCCGGACGGCTGCATCGAGACGCTTTTCAGATTCTGTAAAAAAAAACTCTGGTGACTCGAGGTAATTCGCTTCATCATTAATACTTACTAAAATATATAATTAAAACCATTGCGTTTTTCATTACAATCTAATAATAATAATATTCATACATATACCTCTCGTGTGGCTTCTATGTGTCGGGCACATGGCATTCAATGCACAATTACATAAACCGAAATATAATAAAATATTTAAGTAAATATGTTTGGAAAAAATAAATGCTTAAGTAAACAAACGCAAAGAGCTTGAACATTTCAAATAATATCTACGATACTTTGCATCTACACCGGATGGCCCACTGATGTCGTGACACTTTATTCTCGGATAGCTTATTAATATATTATAGTAATAAACTGAGTTTATTATAAACTAGACAAGCTCTCATTTGACACGGCGATTTCAGCAACAAACGTGTCCTAGATAAGCAAACACTTGATAATCAATCATACAGTTTCATCAAATCAAAGCGTACAGAACCACGCAAAAGCCTCAAGGCCACGTTCGTTACGCAACGGCGGACAGAATCGTAATACTTTTCTGTGCTGTACAAAGGTCCAACAACATCATGCTATAACACATACAATACTAACGCAGATGCTCCGTTACTTCTGCGCACATTTACATGAAAAGACTACCTTTCTAGAGCGTCAGTGATGATCAGCCATCACTTAATTGAACGACAAGGCTAATCACTGCGCGGTTGATTTTCTTATAGCACTCCAATAAGTCAAAGTCCTGAGGGCCTGCCATGAACGAGTTTATGTTGATCAGTTTTAGCCCCTAAATATTTCAAGCGTAATCGGCTAATAATTCCCCACTGTGTTGTCTGGGTCCTGCTAAATAAACCATTCCTTAACTTTAATGTGTTTAGAATGCTCGTCAATCTCATTCCCGGACGCATTTATAGAACGTGCGGCATTGTCATCACTCATAGCGTCGGTATTTCTTTAACGGCAATCTGATGATAAATCAATGTTGTTTTCGTATTACAGCCTTGTTACGCCTAGTCAGCGCGATATTTATCCGTCAATATACTATGTGATGATGATGATAGAAGGTTTTTGACACGTTCATTGAAATAGCTATTAAGGTAATCAAGTAGAGATTTGTTTGGCAGACCTAGTATTTATAGTGAATCAATTACAAGCCTTTGAATGAAGATTCACTATAATTGGACCGCTTAGGATATGTAGACACCATTCTCAGAGTAAGGTCTGTGGTTCGAAATACACACTGCACGGACATCCTCTTCGTGAGTCCTCTCTATACAGATTTAGTCTTCATTAATCTTTAGCCAAAAGCAGCCGAGTTGTTTACAATTGAAATAATAATAGATTTGTTATTTCTATAATATAATAACAAACAACTGGCAGAGTCGATTTTCTATGACAGATAAACCCTTTGAACCTGGTCCTATTTTGTAGTTTGTGTCATTTTTTTTTGTGTCAGACAGCGAGACGATATTACCCACGCTTGTGTGCTTCTTGCTAAGTCCGTTTGGTCTATATGTTTCTTACAGACAGACTTGATATCGCACGATCTCTGCTCAGGTAAATAGCCATGCGAGGATCTATTAAAGCCACCTGAGTTATTTTCAAATATTCCATTTCTAGTTTGTTAATATTAGCTTATGAACTATACGGGACGAAGGAAAATGGCATAGTTAAGCATTTTTAACGGCAATTGCCTCATTAATTATAGAAATTATTATATTAGTCGTTAGAACTGCATATATTTTTGTATTCTAAATATACGTTGCCCCTTGAACCCTCTGAGGCATAAGTGCGACTTGCTTTCAGTTTCAGCGGCATAGATATGTAGAGTTTTACATCGCAACTGTACGTTTAAGAAGTGTGAATATTTCCTTTGAAGTAACAAAAGATTTCAATCAGGAATAACGGTCCTTCACAGGAAATACTCTTTTGGCATGTATTGTCCAGTTTGCTTGTGTAACATTGCTATGTCTCAATGAAATACCGCCACGTCCGGTAATTTAATCATTTTTTAAAGGAGTTTCAACAGCGGCAGCACTGATATGCCTTCTAGTACTGTGTTTGTTTACTCTGTCCCACCTCTCTGCCTTCCAACGCGAAACCATATTGGACGGTTTATATTTTTTTTTTTTTTATTCTTTGGTCATAGATTCATTCCAAACTAACAATCAAAGTAACTGTTGTAGAGCATAATATTACAGAACGACAAGAACAACATGTTGAATAAACATAAACCAACATGCTTAAAGTCCTCCTAGATGAGCTTACTATATCTATTTATTTAGTTTTTTTTTTGATAAAAGGACCGCTAGCGTAAATCGTGTCCTATCAATCGCCCATTCAATTCCGCTTAGCTTTAGGACGCATTGAATATTATAAATGATCCAGTATATCTCAAAATCCGTACTGAATTGTCCCAGATTTTTAACATGGCATTATCCGTGACCTTGTTGTCTTTCAACTGATCATGAAATCGAACCGTTTTCCCTTGCGGTGTCGATTCGGTGAGGAAGGCTTGAACCAGCCACGGTGGGGAATTCCCTTATAAAAGTGTTGACTGGCATCAAACATAAATGTCTTTTAATTTGAACTCAGCGTAGGAAAACCCTTGCTTATAATAATAATTTTATCGAGCCGTCTCATACTATTCGTCGCTATATTAATATAGCTCGGCGAAAATTTGAAGACTCAGTGATATTAGCCACCGAAGGCGTTATGAAATGAAAAGATATTGGAGGTGCCAATCACCGCCGAAACAACTGATCAGCGAA